ATAGATTCAGATGTTTGGCATATTCATGTGAACAAACATAATAAACAACTCTTATTTTGATCCATATACTTTCAGCCCTCCTATATAATGAATGTCATGCAAGAGTCATTTGTCCAACTTCAGTCATCTGCAAAACCTAGAGCTCAGTGGACATTTCTTTCCTAGAATAATTGGTTCCACCTTTACATCTCTGAGTGAGAATCTGCAGTTGCTGCTTGACCAGCACCAGGGAGTGAATCCACTGAGGCAATGGGCAGCCTATTCTACACAGTTGTGGACATATAAAGGACAGAAGTAGCACATGCAAGTAACTGGGATCCAGAGAGGGAAAGAATTTGCATAAAATGTTTGAAGAGGATAGGGGCATCTTTAGTTTTCAAAAAGTAAAGCTAGCAGCCACTGCTCATCTCTAGCTAATTTTCTTTTGGGTTCACAAAGTTTAGTTCTCCCTTTTTCCATAGAGTCCAGTAATCTGCATAATGTAAAATCTCTTTAATTTTAAAATCTGGCAACTAACTCAAACTAAAAACCTATAAAATAATGTATAAACCAACAAAGTATGTCAGATATTACCCAGGATCACCATTTGGAAACCTCTGTTCAGGACCATTACCGACTGTTTTAGTCAGCTTTTTCCACTGCTGTGACTAACAGACCTGACCAAAACAACTGTAGAGGAGGAAAAGTTATTTGAGGGCTCATGATTTCAGAGGTCTTAGTCTATAGAAGGCTGCTCCATTTACTTCTTGGGGCTCAAGATGAGGCAGAATATCATGGTGGAAGAGTGTGGCAGAGGAAAGCAGCTTACATGGTGATCAGGAAGCAGAAAGAATGTCCACTTACCAGACACAAATATATACCCAAAGCCATGCCCCAATTCCCATCTTCTCCAGCCACAACTCTACCACTTCAGTTACCACTCAGTTAATCCCTATCAGGGGATTAAATCACTGATTGGGCTAAAACTCTTATAACCCAATCATTTCTCCTCTGAACCTTCTTGTATTGTCTCACATGTGAGCTTTGGGGGACACCTCACATCCAAACCATAACACCAACTCTAAAATGTTTCTGTGAAAATTAGAAAATGGTGTCACCTTTAGGAAGACGCTGCTTCAAGATACATAGTCTAAGAAACAAAGTAAGGCCTAAACTTCAGTCCTCGTACGTCCTCTCAACTGGATGCTGTGCAATTTACAGATGGCTCAACTTTATGCCATGATGTGCCTTTCTTTGAATTATTGTATTGAAACAATACTAGTTGTTAGCTAGTTCTTACCTATTGGTCCTAATCTGCCTGGTTCTGATTCTGTGGTTATAAACCACACAGTGCCTGGGACTTTCCCCTTTACATTACTAATCACACTTATAATTACTCCACTCAATGTTTGTCTTTCCACCTGGGTTATATGCTCAAGAGGGCAAAACACCTCTTGTCGCCTAGTCTGTCCTCAGTGATAAGCAGAATTTGACACATGGCAGGCATCCATCAAGTATTTATTTACTCACTGGTAATTGCCCTTCTTCGAAGGACCTGGGTTCCAGACCCCTTGCTACCCTGGTTAGTTTTTTTAGGACTTGGTCCAGGGCAGTGGAATTTTGAAAATGTGATTTCGACACTTCAGCGTGTGACACTAGCTAGCAGAGGAATGGGAACTCAGGCTTACTCTATCAGGCACTTTGCATCTGATACTATAGGTATTTTTCAAGCCACAAAATAGCCTTCATGTAGGACTGATTGTGCCATTTTATCAGATGGAGAAGTGAGGGTTTCTGGAAGTTAAGTCATTTGTCTAATCAAAGTCACATTGCTTGTAAGCAGAGGGACTGGGATTCAAACTTCAATTGTTCTGACTCCCCAAAGTCATGCTCTTGCTACTTTAGCAGGCCTCTCTGTTCCATCAAATTATATTTAACCATCAAGTCAGAGACTGTCTTGGCAAATATCTCAGGCTTGAATGAGCTGAGATTGTCCAGGCATGAAGGGTCAGAATCAGTGATTGGATCCATTGAGAGCAAAGCTTCAGGCCTCTGTAGAAAGCCACACATCTAGTCTCACAAAGGAAAAATGTTTGGGGCCAGGACAGCTGAAAGGATGTTTATCAGAAGAAAACCTGGAGGAGATTAAATCCTGTGCACCCACAAGGCCTAGGATCCTGGATTGTTGTTTATGTCCAGAGCAACAAAAAGCCAAACAAAACTTTTTTTTCCCCTTTCTATCAGTAATAGCTTTGGAGATTTATCTTAAGACAAAGAGAAAAGATTGCTGATCTGGAGTAGGCATCCTTCCTCCATCCTCCAAATGAAAAACTTAAGTCAAAAATGGGGACAGATGAAGGCCAAGTTTCTCAGCTTTTCAATCTCAGTCCAGTTCCCATCTTAAGGGCTTTGGGGGTTCTCAATAACTAGTGGAATATTTGAGTTGGGGATGATTGTTTTCATTCTGTCTTGTTATGAAGTATCCTATAAAACATCTGGGAAAGAGAATAAGGCCTGAATTATCCTTATAGTCCAGTCATCTTTGAACAAGGGCCCCAAAACTCTACTAGAATAAAAGTCAAAATAATGTTTTGCAGAACATTAATGTCAATAATGTTGGCAAAACAATGTTTCTGCTGTTTCAAGTCTTACTTTTGTCTTTCAAATATGTATAATTAAGACAAGCACATTAAAAGCCAGGCTGGGGTGGTGCATGCCTGAAATTCCAGCAACCCAGGAGGCTGAGGCAGGAGGATCTCAAGTTCAAAGCCAGCAGTCAGCAACTTAGGGAGACCCTATCTCAAAATAAAAAATAAAAAGGACTGGAAATGTAGATCAGCAGAAAAGTATCCCCGGGCCCTGATTCAATCCCCAGCATACACACACACACACACACACACACACACACACACAAACAAACAAACAAACAAACAAACAAATAAATAAATAAATAAATAAATTGGAGAAAAATTTTGCAGAAGCAAATTTATAAACAGATGAACTTTACCCTGGTCCCAACTTTCTTACCCCAATACTTTGCATTTGTGTGTATTTCCTTCCCATCTTTTTTTCCCTGCTTATAACCAAGTTGCATTCACACAATTTATATAATGCTTATTTAAGTCTACATATTTTCTATTAATATTATGTCATAAACATATTTTAAAAATCGTAATTTCTATCATTGTTGGGAGCTATATAATATAGCTTAATTGTTCCTTGACTACAGCACATAGCAACATTTTCATTAATGCATTAGATGGCTACTATTAATGTAATAAGATTGCTAGTAAATTAATTATTGTTTAAATTTAGTTATACTTCTCAAAAACCAAAGATATATGATAAAATAGGCTCTATTTGATAGGGAAATATACATTACACAGAATGTTAATTAAGAAAGAATTAAATTCTAGATTCTTAAAATTAGCAGGGAATGTCAAATCATTTAACACGAAATTCCAATTGATGACAGCCTCCTTTATGTCTCTGGTGAACAAGTAGGAAGCTCTGACCTAACAGAAGCAGTCAGTTAGTCTATCTTGAACAACTCAGATGTCTCTCCATTTGTAACATCCTCACTGGAACAAGAGAAAAAAAATATATGTTTTTTCTTCTTATAAGAGCTAATCACTGCTTTCCAGTTCCAATTAAAGGTACAATTTCCAAAGTCATTCTATAACTTGACCCTGCCAGATCCCAAACACTCTCCTAGGCACTCCAGTTAGAATAGAGAACTCCACATGCGTGCACTGGCCTTCAGGAAGTTCTTATTCCAATGTAGACATGGTTTGGAAAGTAAAGGACATACAATGGCCACTAACCCAGACCTGAGGGATAAAGAAGGCAGTTCCAAGGACACACCCACACTGAGCCCAGATGAGAAGGTTGAGTTGGCCAGTCAAAATGTGGACTGTTTTAGGCAGAGAAAGGAGTGTATGCAGAGCCAGATAATCAAAGCCAGCAGTGTGGCTTCTGCTCGTATACATGACATTGAAGTTCTTTTTTATCTTTTTTATTTTTATTGAGGCACAATATTTGTACGTCTTTAAGGGCCACCAAAACACAGAGGAAGAATTAATTCTGGTTTTCTATAGGATAACTATTAATTAACAACTCGTGTGACATGTTTCAAAGTAACTAGAAAAGAAGAAAACAACATTTCCAACACACCCCCACACACAATGATTCATGTTTGACAATAAAGCTCTTTGTTGGTGATTCTCCTACTAGTTAAACGTGTGCAGAATGTCCTGGGACTAAGGAACCATAAACATGACACAGATTATCTAGAACCCTTCACCCTAGACTGTGTGCTGAGGGGCACTGGTTTCTTGGGTAATGAAGGCATGTACTGGAGAAAATGACTTCCATGCTCAAATATATCTCAGGAACACAATGTTAAGATAAACAGTTGTCTTCTGTGGGACTTTTTGGAGTGTTCTAAGGCACATCAACATTGTCACTCTCTAAGGGGCATTGTTACATACAAGGTTTTCAAACATTTTGCCACAAAATCTATGGTACTGTTTCCCTGGAATCTTCTTGAAGAAATTCATATATAGACCAATCATAGGTTTTTACAGATGAGGAAACTAAAATTTAGAAATGGAAAATAACTTCCCCAGAATTGTACAGGAAAGAGAAGAGAATCCTATTTTTCCTGACTCTCAGATCATTGCATGCTCTGGTAGAATAGAAAGTCTTGTAGTTACCAGAAGCTATTATTTGGTATGTACCAAATATAATGCAATTGTGCCAGTTGCATTATATTATGCAATTCTTGCCACTTCCCTGAGAAATTCTGGCTTGTTGGCTAAGAATTTCATTAGAAGTTTCCACCTAGACTCACATCTGTGGGTAGGTCTTCCTGAGGACCTATCCAGCCAGAAGCAAAGGATGGAGTCCCCTCAGCCACCAGAATAGAGTGGCTATTGGGTAGCAGTGGTCAGTCTGAAATACCACCACCTGCCGTGCCTTTTCCCTCTGGCTGCACTGCAGAGAAGATAATGGAAACTTACCCTGGGAGCTCAGTTTTGGCAGCCAGCAGTCATCATATTTGACTTGAGTAGCAAACAGTTTCAAGATGATTTGTCTAAAGAGAAGCAGCTATGGATTTGGCTTTGATTGCTCTTAATTCTCTTAATGAGAAAATCTATAAAAAGCACAGGAGGAAGAGAGATTTTTATTGTCTTTCTCTTTTTAATGACAACAGGGGACATAATGAAGAGAGAAGGGGGCTTTCTTGTGGGTGCTGGAGACTATTTCCCATAAGAAGAGGCTGGCTGGGTCCCAGCTCTCCAGGAAGGAGCGTGTGAGAAAATGAGGCAGAGGGGAACAATAAAACTTCCAGGGAAGGGCGTGTGTCAGAGGGAACCCAAGAGCAGCTAAGGGAACACAGCAATCCTGATAAAATCAAGATTTGTGTGGGACCTCAGGACAAGTGAAAGAGGAGACTGCCTTGGTGAAGGAATCTCCCTGCAAAACATGGGAAGCTTATAGGCGCCATAAATTTACACTGTGGCTTATTCTTGACCTAATCATCACTCTGTGAGAGGTGGCAGTAGTTCCAATGAGGAAAGGACCACAAGGCAAGCATGAGATGTGTATCTCCATTTGTCTGACTGTCAGCAGCTGGAACAGCCAAGCTCCCTCTGCCCCTGGGCCTAACTTAGCGGGCACAGTTGTTTGCTTCTCTACTGCCTGTGGATTCTCACCTCCCTAGCTACCCTTGGGTTCCATCCCAACAAGGCCCTATCCATAAATCAGCTCCCACAGGCCCAGGAGAGAACTTTCAGTTTCCAGGGCTGGCTTAGATCTTGCTGAACTTGTCCCAGGCCCAGCCTTCAGGGACACTTTCAAGAAACTAAACTATCAACAATGGATTCATGTAAAACATTAGGCATGAAAGGCATCTCTGGAATAAGTACTCTGACCAATTAACTGATGAGGAAACAGAAGCACAGCAGGGAGAGTGACTTGGTTGGGTTCACATGGTGGACAAGATCCAGAGTCAGGGGTTCTAAATCACATTCCAGCTCTCTTTCCTAGGCTCAAAACAGAGCAGGACCAGGCATGGAGACGGAGAGCTGAGCTTCTCATCTGCACAAATACACATACTCACACATTCAACTAGAGCTAGGAGAGAAGAACATGTCTCAGAGCTGACCTGTGTTTCAGATAATCAGACCCACCCAGGAGACATCTTCAGAGCAGGATGACATAGAAAATTAGGTGGTTATTAATTCTTACCTGTTGGATAGGTTGCTGGCTTTCCATAAGCAATTTTCCTTAAATGGTCCCTATATGATATGATTTTCCCAGGCAAGAACATTTAGAACTTCTCCATTATATATTAAGGCTCTTGATCAGCCTAAATTCTGTAAAGAAAATAAAGCCCCCAGTAAGTATTTTAAAAAGGAATTTATATAAATGTGGGCAAAGTGGAAGGAATAAAGGTTTGTCTAGAAGGCTACCATCCAAGGCACAAAGAAACATTCACTATAATGCTGGTGAACTGTAGTAGGGAGTTCTCTGACCACTGCAACCATGAAAGCATGGAGAAATTTTCTGGAAGCTTGCTGTGTCTGACCATCACAATTCCCTGAGAAGAATAATCAAGATCATTTCTACCTTCCCCAATGTCATGCATCTTCTCATTGGCAAATTAACCCAAAACTCTTTTATTTCCAGCCCATCCTTAGAAGAGCTTGGTTGTGATGCTGCTAAGATGACAATAACCAACCTGACACAGTCCTAATTCTGCAGTCTGATTTATAAATATTTTTAAAAACTGTACTTACAGTTCAATAACTCAAGTCTGATGGTAAGAAGCCCAGTGCTTCGTGACAGCAGATTCATGTGCAGCTGAGATTATCACAAATCATCAATGAAAGCCAGGTCCACAGTCTAAAGGTAGATCATCAAATGGAGCAAAATGAAATTAAAGGGAACCTAGATGGGAAACCCATTGGCTGGGACCGCAGGTTGCTGATTCAGAATAAGTAGAAGAAATGTGGAGCCAGAGGGCTGAGCTAGCTTCCCTGGATAGAAGTTTAGGTGGTGGAGGATTTCTGTAGATTACCTCAGAATCTTCTGGAAGAGCTTTTTAAAAATACAATGTCCATGCCCCAAGCACATGCTGAGTCTTGATAAGGTAGAGGAAAATGCTATTTGCAGACAGTAGCAGTGGTTGGGGGAATAGATAAACCTTCAGAAAATGAAGAATATTGAGGTAAGTTTGAATAAGATGATAGAGGAAATGGACCAAAGATTAGGTTAATAGTCATGAATTTGTACAATACCAATGTTACGGTTATTTTATTTTTTTCCCAACATTTTTTACCTGCCGAGGTACAAGATGAGTAAGTAGAATGTAAAATGGATCTAAGGTTGGGGTTTTGCCAGGCAGATATGGCAGAAGGCTAGAAGGAAAAGGAAAAGAAAGGTGCATCTGAGAAAGTAATTGCAATGATCACCATGGAATCTTTGATAGACAGGGATATATGTGAGACCAGGAAGTGATTGGGAGCCTCAGAGGGTGTGATAGGACCAAGGGAGTGAGGAACCTATGCATGTGCACGGAGGGGGAGAGAATGAGACATCTGTGGGATGGGATTGGGAGTTGTGGTAGAATTAAGAAACAGGAAATAAATTTTTCTGATGGAATAGTTAGTTCTGGGCAAAGAGATATGTCTCTGAATTGGAGTAGAGGACATGGTCAAAGAGTTTAAGGGGGTTCAAATCTTAGGAAGCTAGGTTGTGATATGTAGCCTTATGTACATATTGACATTTTCTGAGATAGAGGAATAGAAAGATCGTGATCAAATCCCCAAGTCCTCAGTAATGAAAAAGAAGAGTCTGGAAATCAGAAGGTGACAACTCTAGGTGACCCACGCTGGGCCTCAGCGTGGGTGCTCTGAGATCATTTGGCTTCAGCCAACATTGAGCTAATGGGTATTGTGGGGCTTCCTAACTCAGGAGTCAATACTGCTGAACAGTTACATTTGTAAAAATGTATGGGCCACACTTTGTGTCAGAGACTTAGAAGATACAAAAATGAACCAGTCATAGACTACAGAACATGTTCTTATTCCTAAAACATATTCTCTTTGATAACCCTTTCTGTGTGTTCAATGCTTACTTTTGCTAAAAGTTACAATGTTATGTACAATCTTTAAGCATAATTTTGGCAGAAATAGAGAGAAGGAATGATATGTGTTATTCACCAGACTCTGATCTGTGAGAGCAGTTTCATATTTTTACTGTCTTAAGGAAAGATAACAAAAAATCAGAAGCAAGAGCCTCCAGGAGAGCACAACTTTTCACATTTCATCACATCACTGATCCCCAGGATGTGAAATCTAGGTTAAAAAAAAAAGATGTTCAAATGGAGTTATTCCTTTCTTAATTTTAGCTGAAGACAACATATGCAATATTCTGAAGTGAGTTGAGAGGCCATTAAGACAAATATGCAAAATTCTGTCCTTGTAACTCTAAACTCTCACCCATAACAAAAAAGTTGGAGATTAGCAATGAATGAAGAAGAGTCTGTGTTTTCAGTCTCAACTCCCTAAGGGAGACAGTCAGAAGTTACCTCTACCTTTACCTCAAGTCAAATTAAACTCAAGGAGACCACTAATGACCCTTAGTTTTTATCCTCTGAGGTGGAGGACTTAGTGGACTACACCTAATAAATCTATAGGTCTACAAAATATGACCAGCTGGCTGTTTATGTAGAGGAGCACAGATTGAAGAGGGAAGAAAATTAAGCCATATGTGGGTCTATGTGAGAGGAAGCTTGCATGGGATCATGTGCTCTTACCCAAGAGGATCTGGTGGGATGAAAAGGTCTCAGCAGAAACAAACTGAGGGCACTACCAAATATAGTAGCTGAAAAGGGAGCAGACAACTAGCTGGAGGGGAGCAGCAGCATCTAGAGTCCTGTAAGACAGAAGTCCTCCAGCCATGAGTGAAAGGGTGGGCTTCTCTAAAGAAGGTAACTAAGCACCCTCACCAGACAGAAACACTCATGAAAGGACCACGTGCTTCTCTTCCCTTTTCCTGACCACGGTGCTTCAACCCGAGGTATACAAAGCAAGAGGAAAAGCACCACATGGAGAAGACAGCCTGGCTGGCCCTGTCCTTTTTTGCCACAGCAGCCTTCCCACTACATGAGGTGGGAGAGCGAGAAAAGTTGTAACTGTAAATCTAGTTTTAAGATTTCACTATTATGTGGGAGAAACCATTTAAGTTATAAATTAAGTACATTTTTTGAGACAGTGACTATTTCAACATTTTTTATTACCTAAAATAAGTCTTGAACATTCTGGAATTTTGGAAGGAACAGCCTGAAGTATTCATTCATGCATGCTGGATTAACTGATCCCTCCAAATAAGTTTAAAGAAGCTTAGTAAGTAAAAATGAAGTTGATTTCTAAAGGTTGCAAAAGGGCATTTTGGGGGGAGACTAGTATGTGTATTATCTTGGTTGTAAAGATGGTTTCATGAGTACATAGGTGTGTCAAAGGTGTAATGGTATACTTCAAATTTGTGAAGCTTATTATATATATGTCTTTCTACTATATTTCTTTAAATATAGTTCAAAAATATTACTTTCTGAACATACTCCATTAATTTAGCTTGTTCATTACAGTACATGTAGAATTCTTTTTCCTCCATCTTCTTTTTGCTTAAATCTTTCTACCCTGAGTGGGTTCCTATATTTCAACTAAGCATTGGTAAGAATAACAACCCAAACACATTTATTACTTGTGTAATACATTTTAAGTATTATTTAATGTTGTTCAGAGAAATATAAAAAATTTGCATGGTAAGGATTTGGAAAATCTTAATTTCCCTTCATATGTCACTTCACTGTGAACTGCACTGTTCCAGAATTTTATCTTGATTGTAGTGTAGAATATCTGTATGCACACAAGAACATGGACATATACTCAAACCAGAACATGACACTCCTGCTTCCCTCATACCCAGGCAAAGACCCACCTCACAGGTCTACTTTCCCCCATTCTTCCTTGGCATCTAATCCCCTGTCAAGTCTGAAGCTCCAGACTAAACCTAGCACATTTGACCGGGGATCTGACAACTCAATTATTTCTTTCCAGTTATTTTACCCATGCAACTAGTTAGGATCATCTGTTACATGCATACATATCACTTTCCCAAGATGTCCCCACAATGCCAGGGTGACTGGACCTAAAGGTAATAATCAGGCTAATTGTGGGGATGTTATCTGCTCTTCCCGAGTATTCCAATAATTCTCAATTCCCTGAATTGCTATGTGTCAGAATGAGAAGTTTGGAAATAAAGCATCCTCTATGGCTACTGTCTGGCACTTCCCCAAGAGGAGGGAAAGAGGATTACAGGCTCTGCTTACCTGCCCTGGCTGCATGAATCAGAGGCAGTTGATTCTCACAATCAGAATTGCTCACGAGCTTCCTGGTAGCATCCCTTTCTGGATGCCAAGTCCACAGAAAGTTTCTCCCTTCTCTATGTCCAACACCTGCTCTATTTTCTACTGTAGAATAATTGACAATTGAAATCCTCACAAATTCAACTTTGTTCCTAGTCAATGACTTGAAAAAAACAAAATAATATGAAGTGATTACATTTTCTTCATGGCTTAATAGGTCTATTGTGTCCATTTCATTACAAACATATATAAATGTGCTACTCTTTGTAGATAGAAGTTCTTTGGTAACAGGAATTTATACTATGTCTTATTCATGTCTATAATCCTAGTTCCTGATTTGGAATCTGGAACATAGCAGAAATTCCATCACCATTTGTTAAAAAAACTAGGCAGATAAAAGAATGGATGGATGAATAGATGGGTGGATGGATGGATGGTTTAATAGAAGACAAATAAATAATTTTTAAATACCCAGGAGCCCAAATAAGATTTCCCTCATGCCAAACCTCTGGAGCTAGAAATGAATAACAAACATTGGTATTACTTATTAGAGCTTAGAAGATCTTTAGAGGAGTTAAATAAGTTGCCCATGTAGCCAGCTGGCTACAGCTCCATCCCAGGTCTAATATCAGGTCCTATGCCTCAGAACTCAGATTGTTTCCAACACTGACTTAGACTTACAAGAGTCTTATTTCTTGAAGTGATATTAGACTTTTCATGGAAATAAATGTTTATTGTATAGAATAATATTCCAATAGTAACATGAAAGAATGTAGAGAAAAACAACCATAAGAATAGTGAGTTATTGAATAAATTTATGCATTTGTATTTAGTGTGATTTTACTTTCTTTTCTCTCTCCTTTCTTTCTTCTATATAAACCACCAACTTGCAACAATTAACTTCTCGTTAAAGGAAGCTTGGAGCAGGATGTTTTGAATTAACAATCAAATTGTCAGGTTTCTTTGTAAAGCATTTTATTGGTGGTACATTTGGAGGGACTCAGTCCCAGGGAGGCCCATTTGCCATTCATTTCACTCTGCTGAACAGATGACTTGCCCACAAATCGTCCCTCCTCCTCCTTCTCTCCAGCACTCCAGTCAGGCTTCCTTGGGCCACCAGGATTGTGCACAGAGTTCAGGGAATAGGAAGGACCTCATAGAACAGCTAGCATAACCCTCACCTGTTCAGGAGTCCCTTTTCATTTCCCCCAAGTGAGGTCACAAAGATTCTGCTTGAGCACTAGCTATAATTGGGTCACTGGAGAGAGGGTAGAAGTTCAAATTCTAGCTCCTCTCTGCCAGCTCTGGGATCTCAAATAAGTTCCATAACCTGTCTGACTTTCAATTCTCACATCATGTCTAAAGAGTAGGATGTAGACTTTAGGATAAAAAACATAAAATGTTTCATACAGGCCCTGGTTCATATGAGGTGTTTAGTAAATGGTAGTATTCCATTTTTCCCTCCCTTCATTGTTGAGACCTTTAAAAAGTATTTGGAATATTTTCCTTTGTATCTTTCTAGCTCTAGTTTCTCTGACTATGAGCAGAAAGTATTCCTCATATTCACCCTTCAAATAGCTCTCACTGCCCCATGTTTTCTTTTCCTTCACACTAAACAGCCTTAGGTTCTTCAGTTCTTTCTCTGACGACATGGTTTGTCCTTCCTTCTGTATCCTGTTCACTTATCTGCATGTTTACCCTGCTTTGCCAATGATCTTTTTCGTGTTATACTACTGATCAGAAGGTCAGCTCTGAAGGTAATGGAATTTGACCTTCATGTTTCTCCTTCTTCTCTTTTTCTACCTCAACCTCAGATTGTCTTTGTACATTCCCCACTCACCCACTGCCTGAGGGTCACATTAGAGAAGACCATATTATTAGATTCAGGCCAGATACAACAGAAGACATTCAGAGGGGGGTGGGCCTCCCAATGTCCCTAATATTAATACACATGAACAACTCTTCTCATCCAACCCTCCCTACCCTATTAGAGGGCACAATCCATGGGTGAGCAAGGACCTGTGCCCATTCATGTAAATGACCCCATAATTCCTCATAAGTGTCAGGATTTACTGCCAAGAGAGGTCAGTAGTTGGAGAATCAGTCAATGTTTCCCTCCTTTTCCCATGCGAATTATTGATGCATTTATCAAAAGTTAAGTTAATGTTCAAAAATCATAAATATGGGCTAAAATCTTTAATTTATCTAAAGCATCTGAATACTGAAAGAGGTTTGTTAAACTGGGAGCAGATTTTTGAGACTTTTGCAACTCCTTCCCTAATGTTTGGTTTATTTATTATTGGAAAATCAAAGAGTCCAAATGTGTTATGCCACTGAAGTATCCAGGCCAGGCCTTTAAATGTGTAGACTTGAAATAGAGATAAAGGGAGAAGCACTTAGCTTGACAACAACTGAAGTCTATATGTTCTGAAGAAGGCCTAGGAAACCCAGGGCTGGTGTGGGAGGCAGAGTATTTCCATGGTCCCAGCTTACTCACAGCTGAGTCTCTCCAGGTGAAGAGTCAAAGATGAATGGAGACAGAGCAAACATTTGGCTGTGTGCACAAGACCTCAGTTCCCTTTCTTGCTTTCCTCCTAGAACCAGGGTTAGGAGGCTGGCTTGAGTCTTCATTCATGCCAGCATTTAGAAGGAAGCAGGAGATCCCCTATCCAAAAAAAAAGTTATCTTGCCAATTCAGAGAACTGAAAATCCAAACTTTCTTCAAAACCATAGAATCATCTGAAAGGTGAACACTCTGCTGAATTCAAGACTAATTTTTGGAAGTGTACTTGGAAATAGACTAAATTGTCTTTTTGTTTCAGGATGGAAAAAAAAAAGGAGCACTTTTCATGATTCCTGCCTCTGGGCATATGCTGAAGTCCAGGTCACGGAAGGAGAATTGAAATCTCCTCTTACACATAGAGTAAGTGGGTAGCTGCCAACACAGAGGGACTTGTTAGGTTATTCCAAGGCCACTGTGTCCGAAGTACCCTCCTCCCCCCCCCGACACACACACATACTGCTATGTCAGCACATCACATGGGAGTTATTTTTCTTAAATACCATGCACCATTTTTTCCCTGTCTTCATGGGAATTAAGGCATCACATCATCCTAAAATGAGCTAATAAGAACTTCATTCAGGAACTAATTTTTTGAGCCCTTACTGTTTAATAGGCGCATTATATATGTTCTAACAATTACTCCTTAATAAATCCAAACCTCTAGAATTTATTTCTCCCCTTTGATTTCCCAATGGGAATATCAAGACACCAAGTCTCAGAACCACTTTCCCAAGATCACAGGGCTTGGTCACTAAGTCCTGCATTTTTCCACAGGACATTGATTGTGTCCTACAATGGTCTGGGTCCCACAAAGAGAAGAACAAACTTAAAGAGTGGGAGAAAAAACTTTAGACAGACCTGTACTTAAATTTTATGGTTCATTATACTCACCAACTCTGAAACCTGGTGCAAGACATTTTACCTTTCTACACCTTAGTTTTTCCATTTGGAAAACAAGAATGCTCATTTCTTACTTTTCAGAGTTGCTGTGAGGGTCAAATGAGACAGACACAAGATAATGTTCTTTCACATTATTATTATTCCAAGATAATGCTCATGGCTGGTGCTCAGTATAAGTCAAATGACTCTCCTTCAGGTTCTAGATACTTATTTCGACAAGGAAGCTGAGAATGAGCAACAGAAAAGAGACATGGAGTGCCGTAAGTGGAAAGAGGACCTATTGTCCTTCTTGGAGGGTCCTCAGAGGCCAGCTGCCAGGGCTCTGAGCAACAGAGGAAGGTCAAAGGCATGGACTAATAGGGAAAGCAGAGCAGAAGCCTGTTTTGCCACTCCCCCATTGTGATTAAGACCAAGTATCCCACTGTGCATGATGTCCAAGGAAGAACCAATATAGATGCCCTCATCTTCCCTGAACCATTGCTTGTGTTTGTCTAATGAAAAGTTCTATTGCTCTCTTTATGGCAAACTGTAAAAAAGTATTTTTACTCCTCATTTATCCAAGAATAACAAATCCCCCTCTAAATAGCTATTTTATTATGACCGCAATCAAAGCTGAAAACAATTTCATTTTCCTCCTTTGAGGTCTTTGGAAACAATTTTAATTCCATAATAAAGTGAGGCAGCATAGGATTTGTTTCTGAAAGACAGCAGCCAGGGGGTGTGAAACCAGGCATCCAGAAGTGAGAGCTGGGCCATGTCGGGTCTTCCTCCAACCTGTGCTCCAGATGGCTGGGAAAGCATTTTCAAAGCCATGTGCACTGCTTTTCTCCAGTAGGCTCCAAGGATACAGGAACATAGACCATGGATTTACTTTGCTTGGAAGCAGGAAAAGGAAAAATATCCATGTAGGAGAAGTCTAGAGCTTCAATAGGCAGTGGTGGGGCTGGGGACTTCCCAGAGAGGACAGTGCATCTGTGCCAAGGGGATCATGCTTCCTAAAGGAGCCAATTCAGCAGCAAGACTCAGTCCATGACCTCTACCCTGGAGAATGGCATCCTATTGGCCCAAGTCAGGAAATCAAGTCACCCAATGTCCCTATGCTCCCATTTCAGGTGTCAAGTTTCTTCCTGTCTTGGATTTTTCTTGAATTTGCCTTTATTCTTCCACCCACAGCAGCTGCCTTTGCTCAGACACTCTCATGTTACCCTCACTGTGCTGTTCTTCAGCCTCTGACTGGTCACTGCTTCCACCCAGCCCCATCTAGTCCTCCTCCACATCAACAGGTCCATCTTGCATTTTATATCCCTACTTAAATCCTCCAGTGTCACTCAATTACCTTGAGCATTAAATCCCAGTTTCTTAGCCCAGTAGACAAAACTCTTCATTATTCAGCCTCTGATTTCCTCTTAAGCTTCATCTCCCATCAACCCTGAACTATTCCAGACATTCTGAATTATTGGAATTTGAATTATATCACTATTTACTGGCACATAGTGCTATATTTCCCTGAAATACTCCTTTTTCCCTTGTCTACTTAGTAAACTTCATATTCTTTCAAAATCCAGTGTCTCCTCCTTTGAGAAACTATCATGGGCTCTCTTCTTTATGAAGTCTTTAGATTGATTTACTTGTATTTGCTTGTATCTTGGTCTTGTTGATTTAACAAATATTTCTGTTCTGATTCATGTTTGTGGTCCCTTTTGACCAATGCAGTTTGGGCACATGGTAGGAGAAAAGTAAAAAAGAAAGGAATGAAAAAAGAAAGGAAGAAAGGGGGTACAGAAAGAGAGAAGAACAGAAAGACGGAAACGCTTGCTCAGTCTACAAAGGCATCTTTTCTTGGTGATTCAAAGATCTTTCTATTCAGAGATACAATAAGTAAATTATCTAGAATTCTTGACCAATAAAGAATGGAAAAGAAAAGTACATGTGTGCATGTTAGCCTGAGTCCTCATACACGTGGGCTATGTGGTACTAACACAAAACCTAAATGTTATTTAGGAGGAATTAATACTTTGTGAAACTTTTATAAACATGGGGCCAGATTCTAATTGACATATTCTCTAACATTTTATGATGAAAGACTTCAATGCAAAAAAAATACAGAATTGTAATCAATATCCATATAACAAACAACATAGATTCTATAATTAATATTTCACAATATTTGCTTTGTTATGTTTATCCATTCATTTCTCCATCTATACATAAATTTCACATATTTTTGAAGCATTTCAAAAGAAGTTCAAGTCATAAGAGGTTTTCATTCCTTAACCTTCAACATGCATATCATTTGACATTAGATATTTTTATAAT